ATGACCCAATATAAGTGGTTTTTTGTCAATAGATGGTGTTGATGATCAACATCATCTAGTGACAAAAAACCGTGGATACTTTTTAGATGACCCAATATAAGTGGTTTTTTGTCAATAGATGGTGTTGATGATCAACATCATCTAGTGACAAAAAACCGTGGATACTTTTTAGATGACCCAATATAAGTGGTTTTTTGTCAATAGATGGTGTTGATGATCAACATCATCTAGTGACAAAAAACCGTGGATACTTTTTAGATGACCCAATATAAGTGGTTTTTTGTCAATAGATGGTGTTGATGATCAACATCATCTAGTGACAAAAAACCGTGGATACTTTTTAGATGACCCAATATAAGTGGTTTTTTGTCAATAGATGGTGTTGATGATCAACATCATCTAGTGACAAAAAACCGTGGATACTTTTTAGATGACCCAATATAAGTGGTTTTTTGTCAATAGATGGTGTTGATGATCAACATCATCTAGTGACAAAAAACCGTGGATACTTTTTAGATGACCCAATATAAGTGGTTTTTTGTCAATAGATGGTGTTGATGATCAACATCATCTAGTGACAAAAAACCGTGGATACTTTTTAGATGACCCAATATAAGTGGTTTTTTGTCAATAGATGGTGTTGATGATCAACATCATCTAGTGACAAAAAACCGTGGATACTTTTTAGATGACCCAATATAAGTGGTTTTTTGTCAATAGATGGTGTTGATGATCAACATCATCTAGTGACAAAAAACCGTGGATACTTTTTAGATGACCCAATATAAGTGGTTTTTTGTCAATAGATGGTGTTGATGATCAACATCATCTAGTGACAAAAAACCGTGGATACTTTTTAGATGACCCAATATAAGTGGTTTTTTGTCAATAGATGGTGTTGATGATCAACATCATCTAGTGACAAAAAACCGTGGATACTTTTTAGATGACCCAATATAAGTGGTTTTTTGTCAATAGATGGTGTTGATGATCAACATCATCTAGTGACAAAAAACCGTGGATACTTTTTAGATGACCCAATATAAGTGGTTTTTTGTCAATAGATGGTGTTGATGATCAACATCATCTAGTGACAAAAAACCGTGGATACTTTTTAGATGACCCAATATAAGTGGTTTTTTGTCAATAGATGGTGTTGATGATCAACATCATCTAGTGACAAAAAACCGTGGATACTTTTTAGATGACCCAATATAAGTGGTTTTTTGTCAATAGATGGTGTTGATGATCAACATCATCTAGTGACAAAAAACCGTGGATACTTTTTAGATGACCCAATATAAGTGGTTTTTTGTCAATAGATGGTGTTGATGATCAACATCATCTAGTGACAAAAAACCGTGGATACTTTTTAGATGACCCAATATAAGTGGTTTTTTGTCAATAGATGGTGTTGATGATCAACATCATCTAGTGACAAAAAACCGTGGATACTTTTTAGATGACCCAATATAAGTGGTTTTTTGTCAATAGATGGTGTTGATGATCAACATCATCTAGTGACAAAAAACCGTGGATACTTTTTAGATGACCCAATATAAGTGGTTTTTTGTCAATAGATGGTGTTGATGATCAACATCATCTAGTGACAAAAAACCGTGGATACTTTTTAGATGACCCAATATAAGTGGTTTTTTGTCAATAGATGGTGTTGATGATCAACATCATCTAGTGACAAAAAACCGTGGATACTTTTTAGATGACCCAATATAAGTGGTTTTTTGTCAATAGATGGTGTTGATGATCAACATCATCTAGTGACAAAAAACCGTGGATACTTTTTAGATGACCCAATATAAGTGGTTTTTTGTCAATAGATGGTGTTGATGATCAACATCATCTAGTGACAAAAAACCGTGGATACTTTTTAGATGACCCAATATAAGTGGTTTTTTGTCAATAGATGGTGTTGATGATCAACATCATCTAGTGACAAAAAACCGTGGATACTTTTTAGATGACCCAATATAAGTGGTTTTTTGTCAATAGATGGTGTTGATGATCAACATCATCTAGTGACAAAAAACCGTGGATACTTTTTAGATGACCCAATATATTGTAATAGTGATTTTAATATGACATAAATAATAAGATGTGTAAAATTCGCTAGGCATTTAATATGTTAATTAGAATGAATATTACATTTTCACAAAATAATTATTTTACTCTTTTATACTTTGTAGCTGCAATAATTTATATGCAATAATTTATATTGTTCTTTTTTATTATATTTATATATTTTTTTAATATTAACTTTTGAAATGACGTTAAGTACAAAAAATCATAATTTTAATTATAATATATATTACGTAAATATACAAATAATAATGACTTTATATAAATATGTTGGTTTTTAAAAAAAGTTTGCCGCTTTTATGAAAATACAGGCAATTTGTAATTCGAAAAAAAATGAGGACATCTATATTATATTTTATATAATTTTGACTGTTGTTTGTACGGTACCTTGAGAAGTTTGACTTCAGGCAATAAAAGAGTCTTTATCATAGTTTCTATAATTTGCAATAATGGCTACCATGCTACGTAATCTGTTTCTTGAAAGAGATAGCTTATCAACTGAATGAAAAAGTATCCATTCGTTCGGTCATCCATGGCAAACGAATTAGTAATGATTTGAGCACGATTAAGAACGTGTATATTTGTATATTTTTTACTATTTAAGTAGTGTAAAATTTTTTTCCAATTTGTGATATCGTAACTAACACGATAGTATCCTGCATAATTCATTACATTTATTACTAGATATTTTTAGTTGAATTTCAAGATATACCTTGAAATATCAATAATTATTTAGAATACCCTCCCTCCCATCTAAAATTCTAATTACTGAAATATCTATATTTTGTCTTTTCTTAATGTAACAAGCGAATGCGTTACATATATAACTATTAAACTATGAAAGTTGAGAATTAAAATTTTCAGACAAAAAATCCAAAATCGAAACATAAGACATTTTATAAAGATGTTTTTTAGACGTCTTGAAGATACCTTCTTAAAAAATATCATTACGACTTTTTAAAGAAATTTTATGTCTCGTTTCTGGACATGGATATTGTCTGAGTTATTTTACATTAATTTCGCGAAGTTCTGAAGAATTTAAATATGCAAATTTTTTTTGAGCTTTTATAAATAAAGAAATACAGAAAATTGAATAATGTAGAATTTAGTGATAATAGAATAAACAAAATAAATGAAAAAATGTAAATTTGTTGAACAATACTTACCAGATTGTTGTAAATTGACAATAATCCAATCATTTGGATTAATTGTAAAGCTTATATTATGTCGATCTGGTCGTAACCAATAACGAGGCACAGTATTGGAGAAATCCAGATAGGATTGTGTAGCGAAACTTATAGGGATCCACCATTTAATAATTTTATTCTCACTCATTATCTTTTTGGACACATTTGTGATACTGTTACTTCGCCAGTTTTCGTAATTTCGCACCACATGTACAAAAGGATAACGCTCTTGATTCATCCAAGTGTCCATCACTTCTTTTATTATGTAGTCTTTGTGCGGGATATGAGATTCATCTAGAACACTTTGCATAGCGCTCCACAATCATCTGGAGTGGTTGTGCTAAACTGACTTTTAAAAAATGACTATTTTCAAGAGTTATATATCGTGGAATATAAATTAACGGATCTGTATATTCGAAATTCGAATATTAATGTACAATTGAATTTATAAATAGGTATACATGTAGAAATTTAAAATATAACTTAAGATTAATTTAAACTACTTTTAATTATATAAATTATAATTAAATATAGAAGTGAAATGTAGGCCTTATAATTGAATATTAATATAATATTGAGTATCTAATATTTCTGAAATATATATTATATTTTTCAATACGAATTCAAGTATTATGTTATATCCATGATACTTAATATTGTGATACTATATGTTATATATGTATACACATAATGTATACATATATAAGTTAAACTATATTATACAAACTTATTGCTTGGCCAAATACGTAATGAGATCCTTTCGAAATACCTCAGTAGTAATTGTATTATGTAACATACGTAATAAAAATAATGCTGCGATAATACATATCATAAAATATATATTAATAATATACTACTGCTACTGCCTATTGTAGACCACACATCCAACGAGCACGTTGGAATGAGTAGAAGCATAATAAGAGCATATTGAATCATGTTGAAACATACGACGTGAAATAATATACAAACCTCATAAATATAATATCAATTGAAAGATTGTTATAATTATCTTAACATTGTTGTAATTATCTTAACATAAATGCGAATTTTTTTTTGCGATATTTTTAATATGATTGAGATAATTGATTTAAGCTATTAAAGCATTTCAATAGTGTTTAATGATGAATATGCTATATATATGATTATATAGATTTTTTCTTTTTCTCTCATAATTAAAACAACTTTTATCAGAAAAGTGTAGGTATAATTAAAAAATGTATATACTGTAAAAATCATTATGTTCAAGCATCTGATTTCAGAAATACTTCGTAACAAGAAATTCAGCTCAAAATATCACACAAATATCAGATTTATTTCAAATTTTATATATTTAGTTAAAAGTTTACAAATATTTAAAGAGTAATTTGTAAAAAAAGTATAAAGCTAATCTATTATTACCTAATTGCAGAAAATGGTAAATTGTACTATATTATATATGTTACAATAATGACAGTTAATTGTACTATATTATATATGTTACAATAATTTGAAATTTTATCAATAGGTATTTTACAATTGACATTAAAGAATCTAATATGTTATATATATATATATATATATATATATATATATATATATATATATATATATATATATATATATATATATATATATATATATATA